CCCATGACATATTTTAGATCATTAAGGAGGCAGGATTCTGAGACTGCCTATCAGAGCCGACCTCAGCTGAGAGGGACACATCATCCCAGCAGACAGACCGAGATACTAGATTTCTAAAAATATTAATTTTCTCCACTCGGGAATTGAACTCGAGTCTCCTGCGTGAGAGAGCAAAGCGCCATACAGCTACTCCACACATGTCGGTGATTTCAGTTTCATTATATGTGGCATTTGATGGTGATGGTGATGAATAATGATGGTGATGATGATGATGATGAAGATGGTGATGACTATGGATGATGATGATGATTGATGATGATGAAGATGGTGATGATGATGATGATGATGATGATGATGATGAAGATGGTGATGATGATGGTGATGATGATGATGATGATGATGACGATGGTGATGATGATGATGATGATGATGATGATGATGAAGATGGTGATGATGATGATGATGATGATGATGATGATGAAGATGGTGATGATGATGGTGATGATGATGATGACAATGGTGATGATGATGATGATGATGATGACGATGGTGATGATGATGATGATGATGATGACGATGGTGATGATGATGATGATGGTGATGATGATGATGGTGATGATGATGATGATGATGGTGATGATGGTGATGATGATGATGATGATGATGGTGATGATGATGATGATGATGGTGATGGTGATGATGATGATGACGATGGTGATGATGATGATGATGATGACGATGGTGATGATGATGATGATGATGATGATGTTGATGATGATGATGATGATGATGATGATGATGATGATGATGATGAAGATGATTATGTATAAAACAGAACTTTATGGAGTTGACCTCTGCCCTCTCCCCAGGTGCGGGTGTGGTCAGTGTGTCTGTCCCAGCGCCCGACTCAGGACCTCAGGCTGAGAGCTGGACGGAGACAGCTGCCTTCTTACTTGACCGAGCCAACGTGCTGCACTTTAGGTGAGTCTTATGTACGGTGCACTCTGACTGTTGCTTTCTTGATTCAGTAGGGGGCCAATCTCTAAACTCTAAATGAAATTAGTTTTTCTCCCTCTCTCTCCTGGAAATTTCTACTCTCTGGGTTTAGAACAGTTTAACAGCTTGCTGATGATATGTTTTAAAAAAAAGTAACATCTAAGCTGTTTGAAGTGTTCCTTTTCCATGCAACCTTACCTAACTTTCCTCCACTGGGTGAAATAGAAGTACTGATATAATAATGTTAATAATTATAATAGTAATAATTGTAATAATAATGAAAATGATATGATGATAATAATAATAATGATATGACAATATTACTGATAATAATGGTAATAATAATATTACTAATAATAATAAGAAGAAGAACAATACTAATAACAACAACATTTATTATAATAATTACTAACGGTTTCCCTCTGGCCCAGCATGGTCATCACCGGAGTGAACTGGACAGACAGGAACCTGTCGGCCGTGCTCCACACCGACGGCCAGCCCCTGCATGCTCCGGTCCACCTGGCTCCCTTGACCGCCCGCACCAACACCTACGTCGCTAAGGTGGGGACCTTTGCTGGTTGTAGGGAGAGTTTTGTGGCACTACGTCTGCTCTAATGATGACCTGTATATATCTTTATCTATTTGTGGTGGCCGAATTTTGCTATTCGAAAGAATTTTTAATGGCTGCATCGATCGACAAGCGGTCTTCGCCAAAAAATTCTTTAAAATATTCTCCAGATCATGACGCCCTTGGTTTTTTCAGTTTAGAGACAGTTTTGCTGCAAAAAGCTAAATTTCTTTATTTCGCCGATCGCTTTTGTAGGCCGACGCTTCTGTCTCTGTAATTTTAGAAAATCCGGAAGAGATATATTGAGAGGCACATTTTATTTTCAGAGTATAGATCTTGACCTAATTTTTTGCATCTCTCAATATTTATTTCCCCATTCCTGTAGAGTGTAAATATAGTAGGCCAATGACTTTCAGCTTATATTAAAGCACCGATCCTCCCTTTCATCAAAAGGGGACCCAGCTAGTATATATATATATATATATATATATATGCGCCACGACGCAATGGAATCAGACACATGTCAATTTTTGAGTGTATTGAGTTTTTGGTATCATCTTTTAGTGTGTTCATTTGTCTTGGTTAGGATGAAAAAATTACCCATATGTATCTTTAGTAGAAGTCAAGATATTTTGGATTGAAGGAGGTGGGGGTCACCTGTTTTCAGAGGTAAAATAATAAGAAAGAAAATGGCCACTAAAGTTTGGTAACTTCCATTGCCTGAGAGTCTTTGGAAACTGAAAATGTAGATTTTTTGTACTTTTCATCTATGTTTTTCTGTAAAATCCTCTCAGAAATGTGTTTTGAAAAGGTCGTAAAAGGTGTTGAGCCTAAAAAAGAAAATAAAAAAAAAAATTTCCAGCAGCCAAAAAATGCTGATGTTTTTGATTTCGTTATTTTGACAAAGTGCCTGATCTCACCAAGCTGCCTCACGTATATAAGAGACAATCACCCGTACAAATGGCCACTTCCCTGTTCTCCCCTTGTGGTTTTTACATAATGACTTGACACTGTGAAAGATGGTCACTTTTCTCCTCGACAATAGCCTGCTTTCTTTGATAATTTCAACTGTGTAGATATCTGCCTCCTCGTGGGTTGTTGGCGGGTGCTCCGGTGTCGTTTGCTCCTTCTTTCTTGTCAAACATCTATCGTCCAAATCACTCCTTCTTTTTTATGTTTGTTACTCTCTTGTAACACCTCTAATCTTCGGCACTTATATGACCTTATTGTGTTGCAAGTGCTGTAAAACTCTTTACTAAAACAAATATCTCCCCCCTCCCCTGCCCCCACCCCCAGGGTCACCTCCCATTGTACGGTCAGACAGATCTGATTATGTCGCTGTCCGGACCTGGTCTGAGCCAACTGCAGGTCATGGAGGGAGGAGGAGGAGGAGGAGGAGGACAAGGAGGAGGGGGAGGTGATCCTCTCATCTCACAGACCCTCCCTCCCCTCACTCGCGGCAAGTGTCTGCACAGCAAGGTCAGTTCATGGTGCTGGTTCTTTGTTGGTTTTGATTCTTAGTTCTTGGTGGCTGGTTCTTTGTTGGTTTTGATTCTTAGTTCTTGGTGGTGGTTCTTTGTTGGTTTTGATTCTTAGTTCTTGGTGGTGGTTCTTTTTATTGTTGGGTTTGATTCTTAGTTCTTGGTGGTGGTTCTTTGTTGGTTTTGATTCTTAGTTCTTGGTGGTGGTTCTTTTTATTGTTGGGTTTGATTCTTAGTTCTTGGTGGTGGTTCTTTTTATTGTTGGTTTTGATTCTTAGTTCTTGGTGGTGGTTCTTTGTTGGTTTTGATTCTTTGCTTTTTAATGTGCTGTAGTAACTAAGTACTCTGGGCTAATATTTATATTGATATTTAGATTTAAATTTAGAGTTTATTTTTGTACGTACTGAAAAATGTTCAAGATGTCAGTTTTATGCAGTTGAAGCACGGGCTATGGTAATCTGTTATTGATGTTAATCCCAAAGGTTATAATAATCAAATTATAATTATTGTAATGTTGTTTATTGAGAATCTGGGGCCGCGCCAGATTTTCTTCTCTTTAGCCGTTTTTTTGTTTTCGTTTTTGATTTAGCCAGATTGCTCAAATAGCAAAGAATTTAAAAAATGGAGGATTCTTTTATCGTTCGGTTTACCACTGTGTTTGGATTAAACATGTTTGCTGTCAAACATCTCTCGTCCTAATCACTCCTTCTTTTTTGTGCATGTTACTCTCTTGTAACACCTCTAATCTTCGGCACTTATATGACCTTATTGTGTTGCAAGTGCTGTAAAACTCTTTACTAAAACAAATATCTCCCCCCTCCCCTGCCCCCACCCCCAGGGTCACCTCCCACTGTATGGTCAGATGGATCTCATCATGTCGTTGTCCAGGCCCGACACCAATACGTACTCCACTGTATTTTATCATAATATTGTTACTATTTGTCTGTATGTGTGTGCAGATCCAGGTGGTGGGCAGCGGGAAGAGCTACTGGTCGCCCGAGTCGGCCCCGCTGGACAGTCTGTACGCCGTTGTGTCCGATCACCTCAAGTTTGTCTACGACAACAACACCTCCCTCTATCTTTTTGACTCGCAGGTAAACGACAACTTGTCGGTGTGTCCCCGTGGTTTTGTGCACCCCGCTTAATTTAGCAAAATTTGATCATTTTTTGCACAATTTCTGATTATTTTCCTTTATCATACTTTGTTAAAATTTAACAGAATTGCATAATTTCACATTTTTGGGCCCAGTTTGCATAATTTCAGAATTTTTCTTGCATAAAATGACGGGGACAGGTCAATGTCTTCTATTATTTTCTTTTTAAATGTAGGTGTTTTTACACTCCCATTGACACAGTTGTGGTCGTTTAGGAGACGGGCTTCTGACCTTGCCTTTCAGGGCCAACCTGGGCTAACAGGGATACAATATCCCAGCAGAAAGACCGAGATACTCTGTAGATATTTCTCTCCACTTCGGAATTAAACTTGGGTCTTCTGATTAGGATAGCGAAATCTCTAACAGCTTCACCTCAGACAACGGTGAATGAATGTAGAATGAATAGTGTAGTAGTTACTTCTGTGCATGTTTTTGATGGGCAGCTAATATAATATTTCTCAGGTTGGAGATTCTTAGGAAAGTGTTGATTAGTTGTTGTCAGCACCTCTCTGCACACGTGCACACACACACCCGCATCAACACACACTCTCATTGATACACACATGCACGCACACACACACATACACTAATGCACAACACACTTAGACTTACACACACACTCTGATACACACATACACACACACGCTGACACACTCATACAAAGGCAGAAAAAGATTTTTTTTAAAGATAGAGATTGAGAGAGAAAGAGTGAGAGAGAGAAAGAGTGAGAGAGAGAAAGAGTGAGAGAGAGAAAGAGTGAGAGAGAGAAAGAGTGAGAGAGAGAAAGAGTGAGAGAGAAAGAGTGAGAGAGAGAAGAGAGAGACACACACAGAGACGCAGAGAGAGAGAGACACACACGGAGAGGGAGACAGAGAGAATGAGTTTCTCCTATCTCAGACTCCGACTCAGAACATCATGTTATTGCTATGACAAAAATCTCTTGTTCTTCCTCTGTCTCTCCATCCCCCCAGGAGGACTGGGAGTCGTGTCAGTTTCACCGAGCCCAGCAACTAGTGCCCTTGGACGAGGTGAAAGGTCAAGGTTTTTTCTTCAAGACCTTGAACCGCACGGGGCCGTTTTACTTCGCAGACAGTTTCTCGTGTAACAGCTCACAGCCTCTCAGATTGGTGGTGTACGTGGCCGATGGAGGTGAGTCACTCCGGCTGTCCCTGCGCTTTTATGCACGCCCCATCATTTTGCCAAATTTGATCTTTTTTGGGGACATAATTTCTGATTCTTTTCCTTTCTTTATCTTTCTTTGATCATTTTTTGGCATAATTTCTGATTATTTTCCTATATCATTCTTTGTTAAAATTAACAGGATCACATAATATCACATTTTTGGGCTCAGTTTGCATAATTTCATAATTTTTTTTTTGCATATAACCGCGGGAACAGGACTCGGGGCATGGCTGGCTGGCATCATCTCGCTACTCTGTCGTAAGCTGACAAAACACATTTTTTTAAAATTCACAGCAGTTTCGAGAAAAAGAGGGTTTTTTTTGTTAGCATAACCATTTGAAAAAAGCATTCTTACAAAATTTTAATTTTAATTTATTCACAAACTAGTCACAGTTTCACTTTGATTTTTTCACTCAAGTAAGTAGGGTAACTAATCAGGCTTTCAGTTTAGCAAATGAAAAAAATTGGCACCAAAATGAAAAAATACGTTTCGTCAGCTTATGGTAGTGCTGTAGCAAACCCTGGATTACGGAGGCCACTTATTCCGGAACCTTGTATCATAACTGTTGCAAATACAGTCCTACCTACGCTAACGGCCACTTGTCCAAAACCTTTACCAGTACAAACAATTAACCACTTTCCACTCCCCCCTTATGTTTAAAAAATTTTAAAATATTACCATGACATTGTCAAAGACAACCACTTTTCTCCTCAACAAGTACTGGCTGTCTGGTACAATGCGGACTGTATTATCAAAATGGTTACATCGTTTTTGTCTAATGTGTCTCTGTTCATTTCTACTCAGTTGTGGGTGTTTATTTCATGGAACTAGGTTAAATGGGGGGGGGGGGTAGAGCTGTTAGTTAGAGCGAAGTCTGTGGTGTTGAAGAATTCGTAGACCAAATTGGTCCCATACAAAGATGGAAAGGCCTTCAGTAGGCCCCTATATATATGTGTGTTACGACCCGGCGGAATCAGGTGCTCATCAAGTTTTGAGCATGTGGAGTTATGGGTAGCATCTTAAAGCTTGTTCATTTGTCTATCTTTTGATGAAAAAAATACCCATCTATCCTGAATATAAGTTGAGGTATTGCCATTGAAGGAGGTAGGGGTCGTCTATTTTCTAAAGTAAGATTCGTGAAAAAATGGCCGCCAAAGTTTGGTGACTTTCATAGCTTGAGTCCTTGGAAACTGAAAATTTACCTTATTTTAACCTTTAATCAATGTTTTTCAGTAAAATCCACACAGGAAACTGTTTTTAAATGGACATAAAAGGCGTTGAGTGGAAAAAGACTTTAAAAAAAAAAATTGCCCCACGACCATAAAAATGCAGATTTCTTTGATTTTACCGTGATGCCTCACGGTTTTATGCACCCCGCATAATTTAGCAAAATTTGATCATTTTTTGCATTATTTCTGATTTAGTTTCCTTTATCAGATAATTCTTTGTTAAAATTAACAGAATCGCATAATTTCACTTTTTTGGGCTCAGTTTGCATAATTTCATTTTTTTGTGAACATAAAACCACGGGGACAGATTAAGAGTTAAGTTTGGCAAAGTTTGTCCATGTCTTCAACGACTGCATTGCGTGTCCTCAGTGACTGTATTGCATGTCCTCATATCCTCAGTTCACTTGGTGAAGGACCAGGCCCATGACGAGTGGTGCCGCCGGTCCGTGTACCAGGCGTGGATCCACCAACAGCTGGAGGGCTGGAGTGAGCCGGCGGTGTCCGGTCCCATCCTGATCGGGCTGGTCGTGGGGCTGACGACCGCCGGCGTCTTCCTGGCCTGGCACAGCATACAGGCCAAGAAAGCCCCGTTAAGTTTTCCAGGCAGTGCTGACAACGCTTTTGTGCGCTTCTGATCAACGTTTCTGCCTCATGATACATTGCTGTCAGTTATTTAAAAAATACCAGTAAATATGTGGCTGTCAGTTAGAATGTTCTGATGTTACGTTTTCTGGAGCCTCAAGAATCATGGCTGTCAATTGTAAAGAATAAAAAACCCAGTAACTACATAGCCAGCAAGAGTAGAATAAAAAACCCAGTGACTACATGGCTAGCAACTATAGAAAACTACCAGTAACTACATGGCTGGCAACTATAGAAAACTACCAGTAACTACATGGCTGGCAACTATAGAAAACTTCCAGTAACTACATGGCTAGCAACAATAGAAAAATAACAACAACATGGCTAGCAACAATAGAAAAACTACCAGTAACTACATGGCTAGCAACTATAGAAAACTTCCAGTAACTACATGGCTAGCAACAATAGAAAAACTACCAGTAACTACATGGCTAGCAACTATAGAAAACTTCCAGTAACTACATGGCTAGCAACAATAGAAAAACTACCAGTAACTACATGGCTAGCAACTATAGAAAACTTCCAGTGACTACATGGCTGGCAACAATAGAAAAACTACCTGTATAACTTGAGATAAACGTTTCTGCTCCATCATACATGGCTATTATTATTAACAATCAAAAAATACCACTCATCCGCCACAAGTTCAAATGACTAAGCCCCAAATTAAAATAAAAAATTTTTTTATTGCAGTTTCTGAATCTGTGGTATCGGATGTGTGTGTTCAAGAAATATTTTGTGGAAATTGAAAGTTCAAATGTTGGAAAAAGCAAGAAAAAATGCGTAATGTAGGTACAATTTGTTAAAAGAATGAAAGTTGTTTCTTCTTTTTTTCTCTCCTGAAAATTTTTTTTTTTTTCTGGGCTTATTACATTTTAGCAGCTTGCCGACGATATGGCTGTCAACAATTTCTGAAATACCAGTAAATACTTGGCTGTCGAAAAATTACCAGTAAATTCACAATTATTAATTGTATAATCAAAAGATACCTGTATGACTTCGGCTTTATATTGCTGCAGTTGGTCAATTTGAAGTTGTGTTTTAAAAGATCTCTGAAATATTGTATTCTATAAAGGCATTATCTGTTTCATGAAATTTTCATGCAGTTTGATATTTTTTATATATATATGTAAACACTTATGCTTTTTTATACTAACAAAGAAGAACCCTTTCAATCTATTGCTTTTACTTTCAGTTTCAGTTTGGAAACGGGTTTAGTTTTGGTTCAGGCAGTGAACGTTGCACTCAAATTTATTTTTTTAAATATAAAAAAAGTTGGTTACTAGTTATTATTTCCTTACGGATTTTGATAAAAAAAAGCATTTCCTCTTCCTCTACTTATAACTTATAGTATCTGTTCAGGTCAGAGCTGATATCTTTCTTCTACTTAGTAGCCTACTACTGCTGACTCGATGAATCACTCAGCATTCTGTTGTGTTTTTGTTGTTTCTAGTTGTTAGTTTTTTTCTAAGTACAGTACAGTGTTTGTATGGATTTATTATCTCTTAACAGAGATGATACGGTGGAGGCTGCTTAAACCAAAACGTATGGGACCGCAGGAATTTTTTAGGGACTACATGTACTGGATTTTTAAAATTTGGCTCGGTTTTTGGCTTGGAGAGGTTGCTCAAATAGGACCCCAAACAATGGGAGATTTTGTTTTCTTTCAGTTTAACCGCAGTTTTTGGATCAACCATGTTGGGTTTAAGCAGACGCCAGTGTAGTTTAGTTTTTTGTTAAAGTGTTCTTGAACTCCTTAGCCTGTGGTTTGGCTGTTTTCACTGTGGCATTTGCCCAAAGGTTGTCGCTTTACCTACGCTTCGATATTGTTCAGTCATGTTCTACCTCATGCATTTTATCAACAGATGATTTATATCTTGAGTGAAATCTCTTCATATACTATGATATACACACTTGGTGAGCAAATGAACTGAGTGGATGACGGAGAGAATCTGTGGACAAATTCTCAATGTTGGATGATGATCAGTCGCCCAGAAAACAGATTTTTCATTTTAGGAAATTTTTGTGTGTGTTTTTTTAGGGGGAGGGTCGGTTTGTGTTCCCAATACTAATATATTTATATATATCAGAAGCTGTTTGGTCTACTTACAAGAGCGTACTTGTACATGGAGCTGAAATCTAAGAAGTAAAGTCCTTTGTATGGGACTGTGTGATGTGTTATAAATGTACATTTTTTATGCCCCCTATGAAAAGGTTGACCAGCCCTGAATGAGACTGTTGTGTTTCTATGTTCTAATACTCAACGCTGTTCACAATCCAGAGCTCGGCTGGCTCCCAGACTACCATACCTCTGTACCTCATATCATGTATCATGATTTGTTGTGGTGGGAAATTCTCAGCACCACAGAGACATTTTTCTGTTTCTAACTTACAACGTTTTTCCATGTTGTTCAGTGCCAGTTGTGGTTGTTGTGCCATTTCTGTGTCATAATTTGATGTTTACTTTTATCAAGATTTTGTTATATGAAGATGTTAACAGTAGTAAGTGTTCACCTCTGCCCCGACAGCTGTCTCACTTTCTCCATCCTTTATAAATACAGAAAGAGTCAGGTACAAATAGGGACTCCAAGACCAGCAGAGTATTAGAAGCACAAATGAGCACAGTCCCAGGATTTCTGTAGTTCTGTTGTTCTCCCCTTTGTTTCCTGTATCAGATCTTCCAGAATGTGTCCCAGCATCCAGTCTATCGAGCTCATCCTCCATAATGTTTCCCAGCATCCAGTCTATCGAGCTCATCTTCCATAATGTGTCCCAGCATCCAGTCTATCCAGCTCAAGCCAACATTTCCATGTCCCACAGACACATGCACAAAGCCTGGTGACCAAGTACATGTACTTTATTTATGGTTTCTTTATTTTTTGCCAATTTTGCTCCTTTAGGATTTAGAAAAAAACATTTCTTGCCTGGACTTGTCCAGTTTACACATGTATACTGTCAGACAACTGTTCAGATGTCAATGTACTCAGCCCTAAATTGTGAAAATTTGCCACAGCAGAAGCCACAAGTCATCTTAACCTTGAATTCTTCAAATTCTTCTTTCGCTGGAGAAATAAAGACTTTTTGTCAGCGTAACCATTTAAAAATAGAGTGATTCCGAAATTTGAATTAAAATTTATTCAAAAACTAGTCATAGTTTCACTTTGATTTTTTCACACAAGTAAGGTTGCTGATCAGACTTTCGATTTAGCAAATAAAAAATTTGGGACCAAAATGAAAAAAAGGCATTTTGTCAGCTTACTACGGCTTACAGCAGCATAGTCGTGTAGATATCTATAGCTCACCATCTGTCCAAAAAGATCCCACTCAGAGACATTCCCGAGCTTGTGTTCACATCACACGCACTGGTTCTCCATGATACATGTAGTGTACTTAATGCTTTTTATCATCCACTTTTACTTTCTTGTTCAGTTGGGCTTCTTTTTAATTGTGAACTATATGTGCAATATTTTGCTTCAATTGTTTTTATGAATTTCAAGTCGAATGATTTCCTCAGTTTTTTATTTTACCCATGATGTGCAATATTGTTGTCTTCTTTTGAAAACTAATGTACAACACTTCAGATTTCTGACTCAAGTGTTTTTTTATTAAATATTGTTGTTACGAGTACAACATCGTTTGTTCAATTTTTTAAATATTGTCTACCATCGGGTCATGATGATATTTTGGAAAAGACGAGTGGACCAGGTGTCTTCACAGACAGGATTCAGAACAGGTAAGAATGTAAGTGGAACAGACAAACGAGTCAAACCTGCTCTGACATCCACCTGTCTAAGACAATCACTTATCCAAACAACCTTTTCTCACTTTCCCCCTTGCATGTGAGGCATCGTGGTGAAATCAGGCGCTCGTCAAAATAATAAAATCTGAGAAATCAACGTTTTTTTTACCAGTTTGGAATTTTGTTTCGAATTTTTGTTTTTTGGCTCAACACTGTGTATGTCCATTTAAAAACACCTTTATGTGTGGATTTTAAGGAAAGACGATTAAAGGCACAACAAATTTATATATAAAGTTTCCAAGAACTCTTAAGGTATGGAAATCACCAAATTTTGGCGGTCATTTCTCGCTAATTTTACCTCTGAAACCAGGCGACCCCACCTCCTTCAATCACAAATCAACTTCTATACAAGATAAATGGATATTTTTCTCATCGAAAGCAAGGCCAAAGAACAACCTTTCAGATGACGCCAATAACTCCATATGCCCAAAAATTGACGAGCGCCTGATTCCACTGTGTCGTGACACAATTGTCTAATGACACTGTCAAAGGCATCTAGCTGTCTAAGAGGTCCGGTCAGCAAGCAGTGGTCAAAACTTCACACCTCTAAAGTACTATCATGTCAGAGCCTCTTTGAACAATAATGACACATGTCAGTCTTACTTATCCGTTGCCACCCGTGCTTGCATCTCATAGGACCACTGCTTGACCTATTGAAAACGGAAACAATTGAACATCTCCTTTGTTTGTACCCGTAGCCCCACCCACCGGCGTAATAAGCACGACAATCAATCAATGGCACCTCCCGGTGACCTCCCCTGTACATGTGACAACAGTTTGAGGAACTTGTTTCTCAGCTGGCCGTGAGATCAGGGCGGCAGGTAATTGGTCACATTACTTTCACCTCTAGCTACCCAGGAAAGTGTCCGGGCTGGAGCGTGACTGGAGCACAGGTGATATTTCCCACCCACACTACCCTGACCATCTGTACTGCTCAGGGATCACATGGATGGGGTGACATCTAAGGCAGCGTGATAAAATCAGGCGCTTGTCAAAATAATGAAATTGAAGAAATACATTTTTCTGCCAGTTTAGTAATTTTTATAGAATTTTTGGGGTTTTTTGCCTTCATACAATTGTTGTCAAATTAAAAACACATTTCTGTGTGGATTGTACTGAAAAACATTGATAAAAGGCACAAAAATGTAAGTTTTCAGTTTCCACGAACTATCAAGCTAAGGAAATAACCAAACTTTGGCGGACATTTTCCCCCTAATTCTACCTTTGAAACCAGGTGACCCCACCTTCTTCAATCTCAGATATCTTGAATTCTGTTCAAGATAGATAATAAGATAAGTATTTTTTCACCGATAGGAAGACAACTGAACCAGCTTTAAGATAATACCAATAACCCCACATGCCCAAAAATTGACGAGCGCCCGATTCCACCACGTGGTGACACATTTATCCCCAAGTTGCATTCCTACCGCCTTCCTCACCTGGCAGCATGGCAGGTTCGCATCGATGGAATCAAACTTCAGAGTTTTGTTTCAGGGCTGAGTAGGCAAAGCATTTTCCATCTAAGGAAAAAATCTTTCAAGGGGAAGGAAGTTTTTTCTTTCTGTCTCCAGGTGGAGCTGGTTTCTGTTATATAGAGGCACCAGGCACCAGGTATGGTAATTACAAAGGAATTTTTCAATGGGGGAGCTGGTTTCCGTTTTATAGAGGTATGGTAATAACAGAGGAATTTTTCAATGGGGGAGCAGGTATGTATCTTTATGATGTTTTATTTTAGTTTTAGTAGAGGTTTTACGGCGCTCGCAACTGCATAAGGTCATATGAGCGTCAGGTTTATGATATTTCCATTAAGGCATGTTCGACTGTAAATGTAAAATTCAAGGGAAACATCTCACCAAGCAAACTTCACATTACAATTTATTGCAGTAAACATATTAGTCACGACGAGGTGGAATCAGGCGCTCGTCAAGTTTTGGGCATGTGGAGTTATTGGTATCGTCTTAAATTTTTCAGTTGTCTTGCTTTTAATGAAAAATTATCCATTTGTCTTGAATACAAGTTGAGATATTGTCGATTGAAGTGAAGGAGGTGGGGGAGCCTGGTTCCAGAGGTAAAATTAGCGAGAAATGGCTGCCAAAGTTTAGTCATTTCCACAGCTTTAGAGTGTGTGGAAACTGAAAATTTTCACTTTTTGTGCCTTTAATCAACGTTTTTCAGTAATAATCCACACAGAAATGAGTTCTTTAATGGACATCAAAGGTGTTGAGCCCCCCAAAAAAATTTGCAAAAAAATCCCAATATTGTGGGGGAAAAAAAGCCAATTTCATCACTTTCATTATTTTGACGAGAGCCTGATTTCACCACGCTGCCTCACATATTCAGTTCTCCATCTTTTAGTTTAGTTTTAATAGAGGTTTTACGGCGCTCGCAACTGCATAAGGTCATATGAGCGCCAGAACATTAGAGGTGTTACAAGAGAGTAACAAACATAAAAAAGAAGAAGGGGAGATAAGGACGATAGATGTTTGATAGGAAAAAAGGAGCAAACCACACCAGAGCACCCGCCAACCACCCACAATCTCCATCTTTTGAAGAGTTCACACCATCATGATCAAATAACGGCAGTATACACCAGTATACGATAGGACAAGAAAACAAAGTAAAGATGTAGGCCAACATTTTATTTCTCCAGAATGATCCAGACACAAGAGAATTCACTCTCTCTAACATTATCCACAAAGCTTCAAAATTGTGAACGAATGAAAAAGCTTTTCCCCTCAGACATGGGGAAAAGATCAAGCAAAACCCTACAATGAAAATAAAAAGTCTTATAAAGACTATTGAAGTTGAAGCCCTCACATCCCATCAATAAAAATAAGTGCAAAATTTTCTGGAAAACTTTACAAAATGCAAAGAAGAATCAAAATAACAGTCGATACACTTGTACAAACATTCATACACATGCACACACATTCCCACGGACATTTTATTGAGCTGCAAATTCAGGACCCAAGAGTAGTTGACCGTTGACTTTTCATTGGTAACTGCCACCTCACGCAATCACATGCCAACGTCGTTCACAAGAAATGCCTGCCAAGGACAATATTCCCAAACAAGATTCACTCCCACTCCCAACATTGTTCATAAGACGGTTCAAAAAGCAAGCAATCCGATATAAGACTGTTCATAGAGCAGTTAATCCAAAAACATAAGACCGTTGACATAGCAGACAACCCTACAACATAAGACTGTTCACATATATAGCAGACAGACAATCCTACAACATAAGACTGTTCACATATATAGCAGACAGACAATCCTACAACATAAGACTGTTCACATATATAGCAGACAGACAATCCTACAACATAAGACTGTTCACATATATAGCAGACACACAATCCTACAACAGAAGACTGTTCACATATATAGCAGACAGACAACCCTACAACATAAGACTGTTCACGGGACAGACAACCCTACAACATAAGACTGTTCACGGGACAGACAACCCTACAACATAAGACTGTTCACGGGACAGACAATCCTACAACATAAGACTGTTCACATATATACCAGACAATCCTACAACATAAGACTGTGGACAGACCAGACAAGTCAGTGGGTAAAGTACATAGCTCCGACCGCCAATCCCGTGAAGCGAAATGCCCCAGTGCACGCAGCAAATCAGACCCATCCATCTGAGTCAGGGCTGGCCAGATTGCCCTTCATTACAGTGGCAAAGGCTACCATTTTGGCACATTACAACCGATTTGACTTGTGACCTTGAAATTTTAAATTCTGCAGTCAAATCAAGTTGAATTAGGTCATATTGTGCCAATAAAACGGAAGCTTTTGCTCCATCCATGAAGGAAAATGTGGCTGGCCTCGACTCAAATCGACTGATCTGATTTGCAGCGTGCACCGGGTATATAACGCAAACATCCCACAGGCATGAACGTTCTTGTCCCTGTCTGACCCAGCTCTGTACTGTCAACAGTAGACCAAAGTGGGTACCACACTGTCATTGTCCCAGCATGCTTGAGGCAACACTACACTCCACAACGTACGGTCAGCAGCACATACACTCACTCTTGTCCCCCAGTCTCCACCAAGCAATGTGTACTGAAGTGAGAACCTCAACAGTTTTCCTGCCAGTCAGAACGCATTTCCCTGCAGCCACAGAAGATCATGAACCAGTCACTCGAGCACAAAACTCAGACAGGAAGTTTATCGCAGGAGTCTTTCCTCGATCACAACTGGCTGTACAGCAGCTGCTGCAGAACACCACAGTCCAGACAGTGAGATGTCGTTGATGTCGCTGATCCAGCAACGGCTGAGCTCTCGCCCGTCTGTCCAGTGCCACGACATGACAAGTGACCTAGATACACCTCTCTCTGTATACACACACAGAGGTCTCCTAGGACAAGCTCACCCTCCACAACCACAAGTACTCCACTCGGCTAAATTGTCCTCACAGTCTCGACTTTACGGTCACCGGCCACGACTACAAGTACACAAGTCCTGTAGTTTGTCCACACAGTCTTGACTCTATGGTCACCGTCCATGACTACAAGAACATTAGTCCAGTAGTTTGTCCACACAGTCTTGACTCTATGGTCACCGTCCATGACTACAAGAACATTAGTCCAGCAGTTTGTCGACACAGTCTCGACTTTATGGTGATTGGTCACTGGCCATGACTACAAGTACATTCGTCCAGTAGTTTGTCGACACAGTCTCGACTCTAAGGTCACCGGCCAAGACTACAAGTACATTAGTCCAGTAGTTTGATAATGCAGTCTTGATTTTGTGGTGATAAAAAAGCGAGCAGACACTTTGCAGCAGAAGTAAATGTCCGATCCAGTATGTCGATCTGTGAGGTGGATCAACTCGTGTTGAGTCTCGCCATCAGCATGTCGATCTTGCCCACCAGATTGCGACCTTCCAGCTGCTGTAGATTCACCTCCTGGGGCCAGATAAACATCGTAGGAAAGTGTGAGGAAAACTGAGATACACACTATTTTAAGAGTTTTACGACATGTAACACAGATTGGTCACATATGTGCAGAGGATTAGAAGTGTTACTAAAGAGCAATATACAAAGACAAAAAGAGAGACAAGGATGATAGAAGTTTGATAGTAAAGAAGGAACAAATCACACCAGAGCACCCGCCAACCACCCACTGTTCAAGTAGAAAGAAGAACATCAACACAGCTATGGTCACTTCAGACAACACAGCTATGGTCACTTCAGACAACACAGCTATGGTCACTTAGCACAGGGAAGACTTCAGACAACACAGCTATGGTCACTTAGCATAGGGAAGACTTCAGACAACACAGCTATGGTCACTTAGCATAGGGAAGACTTCAGACAACAGAGCTATGGTCACTTAGCACAGGGAAGACTTCAGACAACACAGCTATGGTCACTTAGCATAGGGAAGAATTCAGACAACACAGCTATGGTCACTTAGCACAGGGAAGAATTCAGACAACACAGCTATGGTCACTTAGCACAGGGAAGACTTCAGACAACACAGCTATGGTCACTTAGCATAGGGAAGAATTCAGACAACACAGCTATGGTCACTTAGCATAGGGAAGAATTCAGACAACACAGCTATGGTCACTTAGCACAGGGAAGAATTCAGACAACACAGCTATGGTCACTTAGCACAGAGAAGAATTCAGACAACACAGCTATGGTCACTTAGCATAGGGAAAATTCAGACAGAGGGACATAAAAATAAGAGGAAGGACAAACTTGAAGACCAACCAGTGACACTCTCCAACCACCCACACAAGGGAGTATGTAAACTTAACAAAAGTTCAAACAAAAACTGAGTTTTTAAAAAAAAACAACAACACGTAACGCAACAGCTCACACAAACATAACAAAAGCAACCATTAGAAGGAAGACTCAAAAAGAAACAACAACATGTAACGCAACAGCTCACACAAACATAACAAAAGCAACCATTAGAAGGAAGACTCAAAAAGAAACAACAACATGTAACGCAACAGCTCACACAAACATAACAAAAGCAACCATTAGAAGGAAGACTCAAAAAGAAACAACCCCCCCCCCCCCCCAAAACAAAGACAACCACAAGCAGGCTTCCCAACTGTTTCAAAACCCAGCCACAGACACCCAATATTACAACGTCAGAACACGTATCAAAGAACAAACCGACATTAAGTGGGACTGGTTCTGGTGTAGTGTATGTGATGTCCTCCCAACAACTGTTTCAGGGACAACCCCGGGACATTCATTACAGTCGACAAACCAACATTTCTTGTGCCTGTCACCTGTCACTGCGACAGCGTTCATCCCTCTGTGCCCCACTCCTTGCCCAAACAGGCCTCTATCTTCCCCGCTCTCTGCTTTACTCCGATGTATTATTTTATGAAGCTGTAGACCACTGGAGGGCTTTAAGTGTTCAGTGTTTGATGATGTAGGAGATCTTCCCTTATTTCTCTTTGCCTCTATTGTACCCTGCAGCACAATTGTCATCAGGTCTGTTTTTATTTTTCAGTTTGTGTGATCAAGGTATTTCTGACAAACAAAACAAAACCTCTCCTGACCAAGGTATTTCTTACACACCAGACAAAAAAACCTTTCCTGACCAAAACATTTCATAAACACAAGACAACACCCCCAACAAACCAGACAAAGGCCGTAACAAAACCAAAGAATCCCTCACCTCGTAGTCCCCTGAGAGCCCAGCCCACTTTGCGGCGGTGACGGCCGGTGAACCGTGCACCTCCCCGCCCAGCTCCGCCTTCTTCACGGCCAGACGCTGGCCACTCACCGGGTTACTGTGGAATGCCATGGTGCTGGGGAACAGATCGGTGCAACGATGTTATTAATATTATCGAAGGTTTTTTAGTTTTAGTAAGGTTTTACGGCGCTAGCAACTGCATAAGGTCATATGAGCGCCAAGGGATGGACGTCAACAGAGAAGTCCAAATGAGGAATCAGGCTTACTCTGTTCACCTCTCTGGCCTCAACAGCACAAAGTCTGCTTAGACCAGCAAGGCAACCAGGAAATAGAAGTTCACAAGAGAGTGACAAACATACAAAAGAAGTAGAGGGAAATGACGAAATAAGGATGAGGAAAGAAAAAGCAGCAGTTCCCCCTATGTGTTGTTCAGGCACAGTATGAGCATGACATTGATAAATCAGCCCATTTGCAATTCTGTTGTGCAAAAGAACATGTTAATATCCCCCCCCCCTTGGGAATGGCCTAAAGACACTTCAATCATGCATACATATTATTATGATCTTCGGATTAACGCTAACCCATAAGCAGACAGCGTTAATCCAAAGATCATACGTATGCATGTTCATTCACTTATGTTTTGTGTTGAGATGAAGGTATACTGTAAGGGAGTGGGTGCTGTAGAAATTATCTGCATTATTATTATTATTATTATTACCATTGTAATATTATCATTATTGTTATATTATTATTGCTATTATTATTATAACTGTTATTGTTATTATAATCATATTATAATTACTTTGATTATATTATAATTATCAATATTGTATTATTACATTATAATAATTATCATTATATGATGATAATAATAATTATTATTATTATTACAGTTATTGTAATTGTAAAGCCGAGTACTCACACATTGCCCCTGGGGGAAGCCAGCATGACGGTGGAGGAAGTGCCGTAAGCCTCCATGTCTGCGTGGCCACTGTTGTTGATCATGGACAGGACCGTCCAGCCCTGGACTTTGGCCAGGTGCAGCACACACATCGTCTGGTGCTGGCAAATCTGCCGGGCCGCATAAACAAACGTTTCTTTAGTTTTTTTAGTTTTAGTTTGAGTTTTACAGCACTTGCAACACGAATCAGGTCATGTAAGTGCCTGTGGTTAGTTGTGTCTCTAGAGAGTAAAATACAAAGAGAAGACGGAGAGATAAGGACGACAGGCGTTTCTTAAGACATGAGGAGCAAACCACACTTGTGCACCCACCCACCAACTGATGGATGATTGATAGGAAAGAAGGAGCAGACCACAGCAAAGCACCTACCAACAGATAGATGATTGATAGGAAAGAAGGAGCAGACCACAGCAGAGGAGTGCCCGCTGACCACCCACCAACCCAGGCTGAGAGAGGGATACAACAATATCCCAGCAGAAAAAAAGAGACACTCAATAAAAATTCTCCCCAATCAGGAATCTTGTGGGCGACAGTGAAACTCCGAAACCACAACACCACCGACGCTAGAACAGTTGTTTTTTTAAAGCAATCAGTTCTAACAAAAAACAAAGAAAAAAACGGGTTAAATCCAGCAAGTATGGGAGATTTTTCATAAAATATTTTAACTGGTTGCAAACAAAATCTAAAATTGAAACAAGAATTTTTGTTATAAACTTATGTAATAAAAGAAAAAAGCTGTAATTCTAAAATCAAGCTTACATACTACATACTTTATTCAGCCACCGATCATTCTGAAATTTTAAGATATTATCCCGGTCTACGCCCGTTTGCAGTGGCAAACCAGATACAAGGTGTTTACAGTCTTAGATTTCTGGCCACAATACCTGCCACTGGATGAGGTCACGCAGTTCTGTGACCTCGAAGGACAAGGAGCACACGCGGCCGTCCTTCATCACGACGCGGATCGAGTCCGTCCCGATGAGTAGAACCAGGGAATTTCTGAGAAGGGAAAGTAGGACGTTCTACAATTAGTCAAATTGCAATAGTTATTTCAATTCTTAAATTCCCACGAAATAATTCCCACACAATCATTAGTGGAAATTCTGCTTCTTTTTTTTTTTGGGCAAAAGTTTTACGGCATTTGCAACACAATAAGGTCATATAAGTGCCGAAGAATAGATAACGTGTTACAAGAGAGTAACAAACACAAAAAAGGAGGAGGGGAGATCAGGACGATGGACGTTTGATAGGAAAGAAGGAGCAAACCACACCAGAACACCCGCCAACCACCCACTGAATTCTGCTTCCTGCTTACAAGTCGGTGTCCCAACAGAGGGTCAGGGAACTCGATTCCCACCTTTGATTTTGTCCCAACAGAGGGTCAGGGAAGTCGATTCCCACCTTTGATTTTGTCCCAACAGAGGGTCAGGGAAGTCGATTCCCACCTTTGATTTTGTCCCAACAGAGGGTCAGGGAACTCGATTCCAACCTTTGATTTTGTCCCAACAGAGGGTCAGGGAAGTCGATTCCCACCTTTGATTTTGTCCCAACACAGAAACATCTCTAGTCAGTACAAACACTAAGTGTACCTTCCAAAACAGCACTCCGCTGCCTGTCAGACAAAACTAATATGGGCCCAAGCAGAAAATAAATACTTAGACTAATAACTGTTCTGGTGAAAACAACGGAAATCATAAAAATAATAAGGGGAATTCATACAGCGCCTAATCCCTAGAAGGCTCTAAGCGCCCCTCAATACAGAATTGTAACTCAACTGACAAATAAAAGGACGAAAAATGAACGTTACGAGACCGTTTAACTGCAAACACACACACAACTCCCAGGCTCAAACACATTCTCACATATACAATAACAGGGATAAAAAAAATATTTTTTTTAAATCTCCAGAAAACCTGCATCCCTGATAAGCATAAATGTGAGAGTTCACCTGAGGATCTCATAGCTGTAGCAGGTGAAGCTGATGACACACAACTCCCAGACCCACACACATTCTCACATATACAAAATAACAGAAAAAACCCCCCCCAAAAACATGGAAAACCGGCATCTCTGATTATCATTATAATATCATGAATGCTAATTATCATAAATACACTACCTGATGATCTCGTAGCCGTAGCATGTGAAGCTGATGCGTACGCTGGACTCGAGGCTGTTGTTGAGACAGCTCCAGTGGGCACAGATCTGGGGGTCCTGGATGGTCACCGCCAGCTGGTCGATCACACGCATTGTTCTACGGGAAGAGGGGGGGGGGAAGAGGAGAGAACAAGTTAAGTTTCAGTTCTTTCGTTCACTTTGAGTAAAGAGAGGCACATTGATATGATAGAGACCATTTAGCGCAGAGGTAAAAAAAAATTCTAGCTTCGTAAGTTTTATGGCACTTGTATCACAAATATGTCATATAAGTGTTAAATTTTAAAAGAAAACTAGTTTTTACACCCATCGTCCTACTCACACATTGCCCCTGGGGGAAGCCAGCATGACGGTGGAGGAAGTGCCGTAAGCCTCCATGTCTGCGTGGCCACTGTTGTTGATCATGGACAGGACCGTCCAGCCCTGGACTTTGGCCAGGTGCAGCACACACATCGTCTGGTGCTGGCAAATCTGCCGGGCCGCATAAACAAACGTTTCTTTAGTTTTTTTAGTTTTAGTTTGAGTTTTACAGCACTTGCAACACGAATCAGGTCATGTAAGTGCCTGTGGTTAGTTGTGTCTCTAGAGAGTAAAATACAAAGAGAAGACGGAGAGATAAGGACGACAGGCGTTTCTTAAGACATGAGGAGCAAACCACACTTGTGCACCCACCCACCAACTGATGGATGATTGATAGGAAAGAAGGAGCAGACCACAGCAAAGCACCTACCAACAGATAGATGATTGATAGGAAAGAAGGAGCAGACCACAGCAGAGGAGTGCCCGCTGACCACCCACCAACCCAGGCTGAGAGAGGGATACAACAATATCCCAGCAGAAAAAAAGAGACACTCAATAAAAATTCTCCCCAATCAGGAATCTTGTGGGCGACAGTGAAACTCCGAAACCACAACACCACCGACGCTAGAACAGTTGTTTTTTTAAAGCAATCAGTTCTAACAAAAAACAAAGAAAAAAACGGGTTAAATCCAGCAAGTATGGGAGATTTTTCATAAAATATTTTAACTGGTTGCAAACAAAATCTAAAATTGAAACAAGAATTTTTGTTATAAACTTATGTAATAAAAGAAAAAAGCTGTAATTCTAAAATCAAGCTTACATACTACATACTTTATTCAGCCACCGATCATTCTGAAATTTTAAGATATTATCCCGGTCTACGCCCGTTTGCAGTGGCAAACCAGATACAAGGTGTTTACAGTCTTAGATTTCTGGCCACAATCCCTGCCACTGGATGAGGTCACGCAGTTCTGTGACCTCGAAGGACAAGGAGCACACGCGGCCGTCCTTCATCACGACGCGGATCGAGTCCGTCCCGATGAGTAGAACCAGGGAATTTCTGAGAAGGGAAAGTAGGACGTTCTACAATTAGTCAAATTGCAATAGTTATTTCAATTCTTAAATTCCCACGAAATAATTCCCACACAATCATTAGTGGAAATTCTGCTTCTTTTTTTTTTTGGGCAAAAGTTTTACGGCATTTGCAACACAATAAGGTCATATAAGTGCCGAAGAATAGATAACGTGTTACAAGAGAGTAACAAACACAAAAAAGGAGGAGGGGAGATCAGGACGATGGACGTTTGATAGGAAAGAAGGAGCAAACCACACCAGAACACCCGCCAACCACCCACTGAATTCTGCTTCCTGCTTACAAGTCGGTGTCCCAACAGAGGGTCAGGGAACTCGATTCCCACCTTTGATTTTGTCCCAACAGAGGGTCAGGGAAGTCGATTCCCACCTTTGATTTTGTCCCAACAGAGGGTCAGGGAAGTCGATTCCCACCTTTGATTTTGTCCCAACAGAGGGTCAGGGAACTCGATTCCAACCTTTGATTTTGTCCCAACAGAGGGTCAGGGAAGTCGATTCCCACCTTTGATTTTGTCCCAACACAGAAACATCTCTAGTCAGTACAAACACTAAGTGTACCTTCCAAAACAGCACTCCGCTGCCTGTCAGACAAAACTAATATGGGCCCAAGCAGAAAATAAATACTTAGACTAATAACTGTTCTGGTGAAAACAACGGAAATCATAAAAATAATAAGGGGAATTCATACAGCGCCTAATCCCTAGAAGGCTCTAAGCGCCCCTCAATACAGAATTGTAACTCAACTGACAAATAAAAGGACGAAAAATGAACGTTACGAGACCGTTTAACTGCAAACACACACACAACTCCCAGGCTCAAACACATTCTCACATATACAATAACAGGGATAAAAAAAATATTTTTTTTAAATCTCCAGAAAACCTGCATCCCTGATAAGCATAAATGTGAGAGTTCACCTGAGGATCTCATAGCTGTAGCAGGTGAAGCTGATGACACACAACTCCCAGACCCACACACATTCTCACATATACAAAATAACAGAAAAAACCCCCCCCAAAAACATGGAAAACCGGCATCTCTGATTATCATTATAATATCATGAATGCTAATTATCATAAATACACTACCTGATGATCTCGTAGCCGTAGCATGTGAAGCTGATGCGTACGCTGGACTCGAGGCTGTTGTTGAGACAGCTCCAGTGGGCACAGATCTGGGGGTCCTGGATGGTCACCGCCAGCTGGTCGATCACACGCATTGTTCTACGGGAAGAGGGGGGGGGGAAGAGGAGAGAACAAGTTAAGTTTCAGTTCTTTCGTTCACTTTGAGTAAAGAGAGGCACATTGATATGATAGAGACCATTTAGCGCAGAGGTAAAAAAAAATTCTAGCTTCGTAAGTTTTATGGCACTTGTATCACAAATATGTCATATAAGTGTTAAATTTTAAAAGAAAACTAGTTTTTACACCCATCGTCCTACGAGGGGGGGGGGGGGGGGGGGGGAGAAGTTTAGTTTCAGTTCTTCAGTTCACTTTGAGTAAAGAGAGGCACACTGACATGATAGAGTGGAGGAAAAAATAAATTCTAGTTTTCGTACGTTTCACGGCACTTCCAACACAAAAACGCCATATAAGAATCAAAGATTAGCGGCGGTGTTACTTTTTTAAAAATGTAGTTGTTTTTACCCCCCCCCCACCATCCAACATAATTTAGATTATTCAGGGGGCTGGCTTCGACCCTCCTAGTCAAGACCAATCTGGGCTGAGATGGATACAACATTCCAGCAGATATAATATCTATAAAATATTTTTTCTTAAGTCAAGTCTCCTGCCTCCAACAGTGAAGCGCCTCACCGCTGCTACATCACAGACACAGGTAGAGGTGTTACCTGAGAGGAACATACAAATGATAGAAGCAGGGGAGATAAAGACGATAAGAAAAAGCAAGACAGAAACAACAGAGAGAAAGAAAAGAAATAGTACTTACTAGTACACCCTCCAACCACCCACAGGTTAGAAACAATGGAGCTGATACAAAGACATGCTTGGTCCAAGTGTGGAAGGTGTTTAGAAGAGTGCGGGGAGAATTAACAAAGGTGTAAACTACTATAGCTTATAATTCGTGGAACTTTCCGGTCACCAGAATTATTGACTCACCGTAAGCGGAGGACAGAGTGCTTCGTCTGCTTCAAAATTTGTTCCAGCAACGATTCGCTGTGGAGAGAAATAAAAGAGAAGTTTCAATTTGTAGATAAGATAAGAGCTTAAAAAGAGTTAAAACCGATCATTTATCATTTTATGAGAAATCGCCAAACGTAAAAACAAAGGCAGACATAAGGCTGTGTTAGACAATTTTGCCAGTTATCTCATTTATTTCATCCACACAATAAGCACAAACATATTTGGACTGTATTCTAAGTTCTTTCACTCACACAATAATGCAGAAACCGTATTCCCCATACTTTCACCAACACACTAATGCACAAACACATTTGGACTGTATGCTCCATTCTTTCACCCACACAATTACGCACAAACACATTTGGACTGTATTCTCTATTCTGTCACCCACACACAATAACGCACAAACACATTTGGACTGTATGCTCCATTCTTTCACCCACACACAATAACGCACAAACACATTTGGACTGTATTCTCCATTCTTTCACCCACACACAATAACGCACAAACACATTTGGACTGTATTCTCCATTCTTTCACCCACACACACAAGCACACAAACAGCCCCTGTAGACTCCATCCTGCACCAACCTGTGCGACATCTCCATGAGCTCTTGTCGCGAGGTGGCCACGGGGCCGGCCAGACGGCGGCGCTTGGTCATGCCCAGCATGGCGTTGACGGGGTGTGGGGGGCTGTAGTTGAGGTTACGGTCATGCACGCGACGCAGCAGTTGGTGCAGTGAGTGCTCCAGCACGTGGTTGTGCTCCAGTTTGTGGGAGGACAGCGCCACCTGGGAGGGAGAGGGAGACAACTTTTGTTTCAACACGATGTGCCAGGTCAATTGTCACGTAGAAATTTACAAAATGTAAGGCGTACTGACACAATGAAAGATTTGATTCTCAAAATTAACACATGGAGATATAGTTAAATATATAGTGATTTGAGCGCTTAACCAGCTGCTTGCACTGTACGCTTCCCCGGAAGCTGAGAATGTTCCTGAGTGTTCTATGGTCTGCTGGAGTAATAATATAGTGTAAAGCGCATAGAGCTTGCTTTCGAGTGGGGATATGCGCTATACAAAATGCTATTTATTTATTATTAAAAAATCGACACGCAGTTCAAACTTGTAGACTTTCAATTGATGCCATTTTCTTTAAGTGTAAGTTGTCTTTTATCATTTCGTACATTTATAAATTGTACACACTCCATCTGTAAAGTTGACGTACCTTCTATTTCCAAAGGACTAAAATCCGATAAGAAACTCATTTTGTCAACATGCCTCACAAAAGCCTTATTGACATGTTAAAATGAGCTGCTATGAATGAGAGACCTTGAAACTTTAAAATAAACCTTTAAAAAAAAAAAAATTCGGCTTAAGGTTTTGTAGAAAAGGCTGTGAGTATATTTCAGACTTTTAGTTTGGCAAAAAAGCAAGGATACCTGAAGAGAAACGTCAAGTTTGTGAACAGGTTATTGTGTTTTAGTAGAACAACCAGAGTCCAATATTGACACAACACACAGCAAATACTTTCCTCCCCCCTCATCATACAGCACCATTACATCCAAACATTCCTACAAACTTCAGCTGGACAATAACTGCAGAGTCTAATAGTCCACTTGTACAGAAACAACGATCCAAACACCCTTGTGACCCGCTACTTCCGGGGTGCCTTGATAGTCGAAGCAGACTTCGTGTTGTTGAAGCTAGAGAGGTGAGCACAGTAAGTCTGATTCCTTTTAAGGATTTCTCTGTTGACATCCACCCCTTGGCGTTCATATGACCTAATGCAGTTGCGAGCGCCGTAAAACCTCTACTAAAACAAACAAAAAACACCCTGGTAATCTCTACAAGATGCTACCATCTCTAGATTCTCACCTTCTTCTCTTTGCCCGTGTAGTGACAAAGGATGATGGACAGTTGGACTCCAGGAAAGACCTGAGGATGACAAAAAACGACGGTCAGGTCAAACAGTCAGTTCCGTTCCATCAGAACAATACACCTTAGATCTCGATAATTTGTGAATTACTGGCCCCCACCTGCCTCAGTACTGTGTCTGCCACAACAACACACAAGTTTATACTCAGGTGATAAAATACATAACAAACTGGACCCTACCCGCCCCTCCTAAAAAAAAAATTATTATATTTTAAAAAATGGACAGAGAGTAGATAATTAATCTCCCTTGATATATGAAATACAACTACGTAAAGTCCAACCTGTCCAAGTTTGCCATCTACAGGCAGGGAGTTATGTGATCATTTTGGACAGGTGGTGCTCTGTGACTGGTTCATTATGATATAGAGCAATTGTGGGCATGCATGTGTGTATGCGTGTGTGTGTGTGTGGTAGTTTGTACATGTGATTGTTTGTCTTTGACAGGCGGTCATTAGGGCAGGTTCGACTGGTATGCAGAAATTGTTTTAAAATCAAGAGAGCGAGAGTGCTAAAATATTTGACAAAGAGGAGGAAAGAGAAGAGACTTACGTTGGTGAGGATCTGATTCCCGATGACCATGTGTGGCGTGCTGCCCTTGATCTGCACTGCTTCTCTGGCCAGCTGGAAGACAAACATTACAAGGTTAGCCATGACCTCATTTACTTCTTCCGGTAATGATAATTTTTTTTGTAAGAGTTTTACGGCGCTTGCAACTGCATACGGTCATCTAAGCATGTGGGAATTAAATTCTAGTTATGAATAAGAATAATGAAACTATGGACAAGAAATCATACTTCACAGAATACATACATCAAACGAAATGAGCTGAAAAAATAGAACCAGCCTTTGATGGAGCGCACCATTCGACTATATTTGGAGCCAAATGAGGAGGAGGGAGGAAAAAGTCGCGTTTACCCTCGAATATAGCGAGATGTGTTTTCCCCTTCGTCTGTGCGTCCATGATGGTGAGCACCAGCCCAGTGAGGTTTTTAACACAGTGCAAAGACAAGATAAGATTAGATAAGATAATACTTTAATGTCCGTGAGGGAAATTTTTCTTGGCTGTACACGACCTTACTGGAAACATCACAAGACAGTCGCTGCAGTGGAACCCACAGGGAGCACGAGGCAAGGGTAGGTCACGGGAAACATGGAGGAGATGCGTGGAAAGGGACATGAAAGAGATAAAGCTCACTTGGAAGGATGGCCCAGGACAGAAATAAATGGAAGGAGCTTGTATGTGGTCTATACCCTGCCAGGGGAGAATATAAGGCATTGATGATGATGATGATGATGATGAACAGGACAGTAAAAAGACACGTCATGATAGTGGCCAGTCTAGGATATTACAATTTTTACAATTCAAGTCTAGGTCCACAGAGCTATAAAACGTGTTAACCTAAGGAAAGAGCTCTTTACAGTTCAAGTCTATGACCCATAGAGATATAAAACATGCTTACCTGAGCAAAGAGCTCTTTACATTATTATTAAAGTAGAGGGTTTTACGACACTCCCAACTGCATAAGGTCATATGAGTGCCAAGAGGTGGGTGTCAACAGAGAAGTCTTTACAGGGAATCAGACCCACTCTGCCCACCTCTCTAGCTTCAACAGCACAAAGTCTGCTTCAACTATCAAGGCATCCCGGAAATAGCAGGTCACAAGAGGGTGACAAACGTACAAGAGTAGTAGAGGAAAGAAAAAGCAGCAGTTCCCTGTTGTAGATCAGGCACAGTTATGAGCGTGACATGAATCAGCCCATTTTCTACTGCACTTGAACGAGAAATGTCCCCCCTTTGGGAATGGCCTAAAGACACTACAATCAGTGGCACTGCCCTGGGGGATGAGCTTTTTACAGTTCAAATCTATGACCCAAGGAGATGTATAACCCACTTACCTGAGCAAAGAGCTCTTTACAAAAGAGAACGTTCTGGGCCACCTCCAGTCTCTGCTGCCAGTAGGCATCAGGTGGCATGGTGCCCAGACCGGCCGGCATCTTGAGGGTGGCGCTGGTGATGTCCATCAGGTCTAGGGGGAGAGGGGGGAACAACAGCTCAGTTTAGTTTTAGTAAAAGTTTTACGGCACTTGCAACACAATAAGATCATATAAAAGTGCCGAAGATTAGAGGTGTTACAAGAGAGTAACAAGCACAAAAACAAACAAAAAAAGGAGGGGAGATAAAGACGATAGATGTTTGATAGGAAAGAAAAAGCAAACCACACCAGAGCACCCGCCAAACACCCACACAACAGGTCAAAACTATGATTGGAGAAAGGCATTACATCTTGACAGACGATCTTAAAGTAGTATGCATAGTACCTAGTCAGAAGACATAGAAGAAGTAGATTGCCCAAATACAACTTGCCTCCCTTCAGCTCTTGACTTCCCTGACATGCTCTAAAGGAGAGACATCGTCAATACGTTTGGAATCAAGGAAGATGTAAGGATGTGCTTGACTATTTCCCGGGTGTGATAGTGGTACTTTTTTTTTAATGGTAGGTAATTTCTTAATTTTAAATTTTGCTAGGAGCATTCTTGAAGGCACCCACTTGGCAAGTTCCTTGTGGATACGGACATTACATTCGGAGATCCCAGGGCTAAAATAATCTTACAATGTTGTAAGCGGCATTAAACCATTGTAATTACATTCAAAACTGTCAAAGATGGCTACCCATTGCTGAGCAGGAAAGTGGTTGTCTTAGACAGGTAGACATTTTGGTCAGCATTATTATAATATTTTTAGAAAAAAAATAAATGCAAGAGCAATATGGGAAGTGGCTGTTTGTACAAGAGACTGTCTTGAACAGGTGTCCGTTAGCGTAGGTTGGGCGTTACTGCTATTAAGTTATTTGTTTGAGAATGCTCTCAGGTCTGCTGGGGTAATAGTATAGACTGTGAAACGCATAGAGCTTGCTGTTGAGCAGGGATTTGCGCTATACAAATGCTATCTATTCTTATTATTATTACTCACTGGGCACGTCATTGACCTCCACTTGGATGTACGCCACACCCTCCAGCTCGCTGGGTATGCTCACGTCCAGACTGCTGCTCCTCGTGTTGACCTCCCCTTCGGCCACGAGGTCCGAGGTCTTGAGCACCTCGAAGGTCCCTCCCTGCCAGAAGCGGGAGCCGGCCGACTTGTAGCTCAGCTCCCCGAGGATGGTGTTGTGGACTTTCTTGAGGCGCCACAGTTTGCGCAGTTTGAGCAGCTCCATCAAGAAGTTCTCCTGTGTGTTGGATGCCATCTCCGCCTGGACACGCTTCAGCCGCTCCGCTCCAGCCGATAAAATCTGGGACGCAGCCACTAGACTCTGCAAAAAAAAAACAACCATATAATAATGTTATTCATTTTAAACAAGATTCCCCAAAGAAGAGCAGATGTGTTAGCCTGTCAATACATTTTTTGAACCCACAAAGACAGAAACTACACTAGCATTTTACAATGTAGAATTTTTTAAAGTACAACAAAATGCAAAAAAATTGTCCTTATTGCACAAGTCTTTTTTGACTTGCACATTTCATAGCGTTCATTTATAAAAAGGCACTTAACAGGGAAATGACATCTTTGGAAGTGAAAAAAAACCCAACAAAACAGCAGCAGCTCTAATGGCCACTTTCCAAAGAGGTGAAAAAAACCAAACAGCAGCAGCTCTAATGGCCACCTGTCTAAGACAATCACCTGTGGAAACAACCACTTTCAACAGTGTATTTTTTAAATACTATAATGATAATGTCCAGGACATCCACATGATGTCTAAGACAACCACTTTTCTTCATGGCAATGGGTGGCCATCTCTGACAATTTCAACTATAATATAATATACAAATTTTGAAGAGTGAGCACTGAGGACTACAACTGTAACAAAACATGTGAAGCTCCAACCTTCTTCTTGGCCAACATCTGCAGCGACGCCTTGAGCTCGGGCGCTTCCTGCGATACGGGGTCGGTGACCATGTAGTGTTTCTCCTTGGCGATGTTGAGGACATCATAGAGGACACTCATCTCCGTCAACGCCCCTCTGAAATGTCGGACTTAGCTTTAGTAAGAGTTTTACGGCACTTGCGACACAATTAGGTCATATACAACAGATTAGGGGTGGTACTAGAAAGTAACATGCAAAGAAAAGGAGGAGAGAGAAGAACAGAAGATGTTTGATAGGAAAGAAGGAGCAAATCACACCAGAGCGCCAGCCAACCACTCAATCCGAAATGTCGAAAAAAAGCCATGCTGCAAAATTGGTAGGAGGGATAATGAGTTTCAGAAACGAGAAAGCTATTGTAAATCCTGTTATCACATTACAAGAAAGACAAAAAAAGTCAAATGAACAGTTACATAGAGTGAAAGGATAAATTCCAACTCTGGCAGACAACGAAATGTAGTTTACTTCTCTCCACTTGGGAACCAGACTCTTGGGAACCAGACTCTTGGGAACCAGACTCTTGGGAACCAAACTCTTGGGAACCAGACTCTTGGGAACCAGACTCTTGGGAACCAGACTCTTCCACTAGTTTCTTTCTATCCCTTGCTATTGCCCCTTACAAAAACCTAGTCTGTGAGATCTGCTCAGTCTTAAGTGTGCACTGCCACCTTGTGAGATCTGCTCAGTCTTAAGTGTGCACTGCCACCTTTGACACAGAAGCTGATTTATGTTATTATTCAGTGTTGCAATAAATGCGTATTTCCAATACAAAATGTTTTTTTTGTCCAATCAAGTATATTGATATGAATATTTGAGAGTACAGGATGACTCTCTATTGCACAGACATGGTAGACAGAAACTTACTTCAGCTTGTTCCTCACGGAATCCCAAGGCCACAGAGAGGGTTGAAAAGGTGCCAAGACTTTATCCTCATCCGTCTCTTTTTCTCCCTCTGACGTAGGCTTGCCTTTCTCCTCACTTTCATCTTTGAAAAAATCTATCTTGTACGCAAGCTTGCTCAGGTTTTCTGACATGGACAATGGGCTGTGAATAGAAAAAAGTTTTTTAAATGATTGTTTTTATATAAATATGTTAACATCTCATTGAAACAGTACTATTGCAGAACAAAAAAATGTACAGACAGTAGCATAATATCATATAGTATAAAAAGGAATGAGATGAACTGAGGAACATAAAGAAACAAAAAGTGAAATTAAAACCATGCTTTCTTCAAACGCCTTCAAATAGCACGTCCCCCTGTTCTCTACCCCCTCCTCTCTCTCTCCTCACACACACTCTACCGGGTCTGGGCGCTGAAAATTTCAGAAATCACAAAAGATTTGGCACTCCTGTACAATTGCGGTCCCGTTTACGGATACATATACTCGCTTTGACCCCACCAACGATTACATCTTGTTCTAAACGATAGCCTACTTTTTGAAGCGCGTGCCAATAGGCCTCTATGGAGAGATAGCCAATCAAACCTAATTGCAAAACATGAAATTATGGTCAAATTCAGGGGGGCATGCCCCCCTGAAATCTGAAACCCCCCTTGCCTCGTAAAATACAAGTGAAATTTTACTGCTCATTTTGTAGGCTAGATCTACTGATAAAACATCGATACCGAATATTTAAATCAGTTTTTCGATATCCAGTCTAGTCTTGCTTGTGTGATTTAGTGCTAGAACTAACGGGACCGCAATTGTACAGGAGTGCCAAAGATTTCCCCTACCGGGTCTGTATACTTCGTGACTTTGTTGCCAGTTACCGGGTCTGTACACACTTCGTTAAAATTGCACTAACAATAGTATCAGTGAGGCACCTTTTGGTTTCATCTGAAATACAAATACTTTAGGCATTGCAAACTAAAATTTTATTTCCAATTCAGCCACTGAATTGGGGGTGAGAATAGTGAGACATAGGGCCATGGCTATTCTCACCGTGAGAATAAGCACTACTTCCAGGCTAAAAAAAAGTAGTGATTGAACTCCCACTGTTACTGCTGACGACAAGTGCCAGTGAAGACCAAGTTACTTATCAACTAACTGAGTGATCACTAGATCTGCTCCCTGTCTTAACCCTTGCCCTAACTCTTTCTTACTGTGAAAAAAGTAGGGCAAGAACTGACTCTGTACTGTAGTTGTAGTGTAAACTGTAAATATGGGCCACCATCAGTATCGAGTCTAGATTAGATCTACTGTGCGACCAATTGCAGTCATATAATGCAGCTAATGAATTTATAAGTATCACAAAGAACGTAATCATCTTTGTTTTACTTACGCAACATAAATTTCTTGCCCATCGTAGTTGACTTCTTGTATTTGATGCTCAATTACAGATTCAACACAAACATTCACCGAGGGAGCCGCCATTTTGTCGTAAGCCAATTTAAGCATAGAGTCAGTACTTAAAGTTTCGTATATTCTTGAATTGTAATTTTTAAAAATTGTCTTGTACTTCTAATAAAACAATAAATCAGCACAAGACGATACAAACAATCATTACTATACATGTAATCATATTTCTTTGGGTTTATTCTGATCCTTGAATTACGAAACATAACTTCGTGCTGTTCATGCTTGACTCCAAGGAAGGACCAACAACGAAGCTATCACAACAATCCCTGAATTATTGACGAAAGAGATAAGGGTTTCCATACGACCTGTCGTTGTGATTGTAAGAAGGGAGAAAGCAAGAACTAGATACTTTAATTGTAATTTGATACAAGTTTCTCTCCTCAGGCTATGGATGTGTTGCCGGTTTCTGTTGATTTTAAACTGACACTACCTTGAAACGATGGAAACGGAATCTTCTTATTTGTCTTGGACAGTTAACTTGTGAGGCAAGTGAAGACGAAGATTGCCGAAGAATGTCTTTGTTAAAATTAAACTGTTACCCCCATCAATTTCTCCGTCTTCTTTTCTTTTGGTTGGTTCGTTTTCTATCCTAATTATGCCCCCACCCCTTTCAATCCCCACCCTCTTTTTGATTACAGGAGATGTGGACATATGATGGGGAAAATAGTCTAATTTCGCTATGCTATATTTTTGACACCAAGTCATGACATAATGTTTCCATGGGCATGATATGCTATTATGTTCCACGTATTCCATGGTAGAGTTAATCTGCTCTAGAATCATGCTGTCCCAAGAATTTCTGGAACTACAATTGTATTGCAAATGAATTTCAAATGATTCCCCCAAAATACTTTTAGGAATTTCTGATTCCGTCTTTAATATAAAAAAAATAAAAGTAAGTCACGGTCACTCTATTTCTTATATTTGAATGATTTGAATTTAGTAAAAATATGGTAAAATTATGAAATTACGATACCTTGAATGCAAAACATTATAATTTGTTTCATTATAATGAAATGGCTGAATTATAGTGTAATGAAATGTTGTAGTAAGACTACTACTATTGACTAAAAATTATAAACCTTGCCTTGTTCCTTCAAATAAAATCTAAAGTTAAAGAAGAATTTTCACTGTCTGTTTTCTTTGACTCAACAGAGCACATGAGAATGAGTTGTCATGATGATTTAGCTCGGGAGTAAGCCCCAAGCCAAGCCCTCCACAGCCTCCACCATGGGGATGGGTGTGCCGCTGCTCAACGAGTACAAGCGCCGATTTCTCCTCAAGCGCATTCCGCAGACCATACTCGGAGGCTTGAAACTACGAGTGGGCTATGATGCGCCTGCTTACGTCTACTTCCATCAGGTATTGACTGGTTTGAGAATGTGATGCGTTTTTGTTTGATTTATTTGGAATAGGGCGGTTCAATTAATTTTATTATTTTGCAGTGTAGGTGCTTTTGTTATATATAAATACAAATTTTCAGCCTGGACGAATGAAGAAGTATTTTCTCTTTCTTTTTTTTTTTATATGATGTGCATGCATTTTTCCCCCTTTTAATAAAATCATTTCTGAATTTTCCATAGCAGTATGTTGTAGTATTACTGATTACAAGTATTTTTTTACCACACGTCTTAGAACATCAACAGTGTCTTTTTCCTGATCCTGAGAGACGTAAAGACATATAACCCCAAGTGTTGTTCATTGGATGTGGTTTGAAATGGGGGGGGGGGGGGGGGTCCAAATTTACTTTCACCCTTTGGTGGGGGTGTCTGCTTAAGTATGTGTGGCACTGCGGTGAAGTCAGGCGCTGGTCAAAAATGAAAACGGGAAAAAAAACCCGACATTTTTCTACTCAATTGGCAATTTTTATCAGAAGTTTTTTCTTGGTTCAACACAATTTTATGTCCATTTACAAGCCCACTTTTGTGTGGATTTTGCCGAAAAATGTTGATCAAAGGCACAAGAAAATGTAAATCTACTTCTCTACACTGGCATTTTAGTGATTGTTCTAGTTTTTATACACATCTGTACATGTGTTGTCTGAGCTTATGTGTGTGTCGTGTTGTTAGTTTATGTCCTGACACATATTATGTGAGGCAGCGTGGTGAAATCAGGCACTCATGAAAATAGTCACAGTGAAAAAACTGGCATTTTTTTCGAAGGGTCGTGAATTTGTTATCGAATTTTGTTTTTTGGCTCAACACCTTTCATGCCCATTAAGGAACACATTTCTGTGTGGATTTTATGGAAAAATGTTGATTAAAGGCAGAAAAAATGTAAATTTTCAGTTTCCATGGACTCTCAATCAAGTAAATAACTTATCTTTGGCGGCCATTTTCCCACTAATTCTACCTCTGAAACCAGGTGACCCCCACCTTCTTCAATTGCAAATATTTTGACTTTTGTTCAAGATAGATGAGTATTTTGTTCATTGAAAGCAAGGCTAATGAATGAGCTTTTAGATGATACCAATAACTCCACATGCCCCAAAATTGACGAGGGCCTGATTCCACCACGTTGTGACACTCACGGTGATTGTCTGCCCCGACCAGATCGTCCTGTGGCTGGTCCCGTTTCTGTTGGGCTGCGTGTTCACGCTGGTGTTGGAGCTGGCCTACACGGACGCACAGGTCTACGACTTCCTGCTACTCTACTGCTGCCTGTACGGGGCCTGCATCGTCATCTTCGTGGTGGTGGTGCAGACCATCAGTACGGTCGTCCAGATGAAGGAGAAGGAGAACCAGCTGAGCGGAGTCATCCAGAAGAAGAACATCCTCTCCGACGAGGATGAGGTGGACTTTGAGACGTGCTGCGGCGCAGAGACGCTGGGCTTTGTCATCCCGCCCAAGAAGTTTAAAGTAAACATTGCCGTGCATGCATTACTGTCAGGTGAGTGAGGTTGTTTTTTACAAAATGATAATATTATCCCGGGGTTTTTTTTCCAAAGATGTGGTCACTCTCTTCAGTTTAAAGTAAACATTGTTGTGCTTGCGTTGCTGTCAGGTGAGTGTGCAGGTAGGCCGCTTTTCTTGTTCTCCCCCCCCTCCCCTTGTTATTTTCACCAAAAGAAGAGTTAATTTTTCTAAGCATTTGCTTTCTGTATAACCCGATATAAGTTGTACCTATTGTCTTTTTGTTTGCAAATGAAGCGTCATAAATGTTTCAGGTATTTTTAGAAAATCCCAGTAACATCCCTGAGTGTGGTTTTAAGAATCTCAGCTCAGATTTGCCCTGACAGGCAGGTTTGAAGCAGCCACCTCTAAAAATGGTCCAAATTGTGTGGATGGTGGCATAAAACTTCTCCAGATATATTTATATATATTTATTTGGCTTTTTCTCTTCTGAGTTCCTTGGGAATCTCATCTCACTCAATTTTATGGTGATGTATTGTTCACTGCGGGAGGTGGGAGGTCACCTCTGATAGGTCCCACATCTTTTGTTTCCTCTATTGTTCCTGTCTGTCTGTCTGTCAGTCTTGCATGAAATGATTGTAATTATCTCGAAATGCTTCGAAGCATGATTGATTTCTCTGATATGTGTGTACTCTTCTTCTTCTTCTTCTCGATCTCATCACACTTGAAGTCCGGTATCTATCACAGACTGGGCTGTCCTGCTCAGTTCCTCTGTTGGCCTGTACAACTCACCTGTAGTATTATAACACCTGTTGTATTAATGGGGTTTGCTGCTTTTACTGTTTTCACGTTTATAATTTTTTTGTCCCATCCAGGTCTCATCTGTGGGATGGGATTCTGGTACTTGTTGCCGTACTCTGTGAATGAGCTGTACGGCCACTCATATGGGGTGACGGCGGCCATCTTTATCCTGGGCTGGTTGACGGTGTGCGTGGCACAATACTCTCTGACGTGCGGCGCGCCACCAGAGCCGGCGATTTACCGCACGATGGACACATACGAGCTTCTTCCTCTCACACGCCCTCTCTACGCGTTCATTTGTTACAGCATTCACATAGCTGACTGGTGAGTGGGTGCGAATGTGTGACACGAATAACAGTAGAGTCCACACTGAAATCTGTGTGTGCAAATTGGACAGGAACAATTTTAGTATTTGGTGTTTCAAAAATAATTCTGTGTGCTTTTATCTCTTAAAAAGATTAAGGATTCCCGGGTTGTTGAGATGTATAGACTTGTTTGATTCATCCTTGAGCCTCCTATATTCCTAATTTTTGGTTAGAGACGTTTCGAAACAATAATGTTAAGTGTAATTTAAATAGATTGCCTAGTAATTCATCTTCCAATGATTCTTAAAGCCCTCTTATATTCTTTTTCTCCCTGAACCTTGCCAGACAAAACCAAATTATTTCAAGTTCCAAGTGCCCTGGTGCAGTTTGCTCCTTCTTTCGTATCAAGCAGGTTGTCCTTATCTGTCCTCCTTCTTTTTTGTATATATGTTATTCTCTAGTAACATCTCTAATCTTCGACACTCATTTGACGTATTTCCAAGTGCTCTGGTGTGGTTTGCTTCTTCTTTCCTATTAAACGTCTATCGTCTTTATCTCACCTCCTTCTTTTTTGTGTTTGTTACTCTCTTGTAACACCTCTAATCTTCGGTACGTATATGACCTTATTGTGTTGCAAGTGCCGTAAAACACTTACTGAAACTAAAGAGTAAGCCTGATTCCCCGTTTGGACTTCTCTGTTGACATCCACCCATTGGCACTCATAATACCGTATGCAGTTGCGAGTGCCGTAAAACCTTTCTAAAACTAAACGACACTCGTTTGACGTATGTGTGTTGGTAGGTACTCGTCCGGCGTGCTGCTGGCCAATCAGATCCTGCACGTGGTGTTTGTGCTGCTGCCCGTGCTGTGGCTGTGTGGACTGCTGCCCCCGGCTGAGGTGCTGGTGCTGGGGCTGCTGGAACAGGGGCAGGTCTTTTTGCTGGGGGGGACGCCGTACGCCTCGTGGGCCAGGTAGTTGTTGTTGTCGTTGTTGTTGTTATCTTTCTGCTGGGGGGGACGCCCTACGCCTCGTGGGCCAGGTAGTTGTTGGTGTTGCTGTTGTTGTTGCTGTTGTTGTTGTCTTCTTGATGGGGGGGACGCCGTACGCCTCGTGGGCAAGGTAGTTGTTGTTGTCGTTGTTGTTGTTATCTTTCTGCTGGGGGGGACGCCCTACGCCTCGTGGGCCAGGTAGTTGTTGGTGTTGCTGTTGTTGTTGCTGTTGTTGTTGTCTTCTTGATGGGGGGGACGCCGTACGCCTCGTGGGCAAGGTAGTTGTTGTTGTCGTTGTTGTTGTTATCTTTCTGCTAGGGGGGGATGCCGTACGCCTCGTGGGCAAGGTTGTTGTTGTTTTTGTCTTT